CGGGCGAAAACAAGAACATTAAAAGAATTAAACTTTCAGAAAATTATCTTAGTTCAGCTTAGTTTAGAAAATTACACTTTCAAGTTGACTAATAAATTTACTTCTATTCATATAAAAAAAAACTATCTCAAGTCAATCTTCTCTCAAAACAATTCCTAACAAGACAAAACATTTCAAAAAATATTCAAATATGTTCAATAACAACTTTTTTAATCTCATAAGCAGATTTTAAAGTATTGCCAAAAGGATTCTTACTCTCTCTTTTGACTAATGACCCGTCTTGAATACACGTACTAATCGAAACTATCAAAATATTAAAAGAATTACAGTTTTCTTTTAAAAAGGAATTATAATTTAATTAATGTATAGAATTATATAAATTCTTAATTAAATAAAAAAGTTAACAAAGTTCTTTATGATCTAATTATTACAGCAATAAATAATTTTTAACAAATATTAAATGGCTTAATCATCAATAAAGTTAAGGAATTTAATAATAACAAAAAGGAAACTTATTATTAAAACATTTGTGATCATAATTCTACGCACACGTACACAAGTTATCATTAACCAATACTTATCCTATATAAATAAGAAACTATTCATAATTGATTAAAACAATTTAGTAGTACATAATGTGATATACTAAGCCATTTATTAGTATTTCTTAAAAAAGTTATTTTGTAATTTAGATATTATATTTAGCATTTTATTTTTAGTAAATAATATTAATATAATCTATTATGAAAAGATTGAAATGTTATAATTGAAAAATAAATAAATCAATATATAAAGGTTGAACTCCAACACTGTGACTGTCAGCAAGGCGTGAGATAACCTCACTCCTATCCTTTGCATTACTGGACTGTGCCCCGGGAGGCTAAATAAATCAATATATTATGACATTTTATGTTTGCTTATTTATGAATATATTTGATCTAAACATAAATGTAAAATAAATTTTAGCTCTTGTGCAATGTCGGCTCTTCCTCTAGACAACTACGTCGATTACCTAAGGGCCCACAGTTAATAAGATACCAAATTTTTAGGAAATTTCATTTCAAACAGTTTTATTTTGAGTCATATTTTTTATCGGTGGTAACAAAAACGAATTTTTTTGGTAATGTTTAGGTACTGATGAATTTTTTGATGCTAACAAGTATTAAAAATTAAAATAAATAAATACTATCCATGATAAAATCTATGCAAAAAAAAATCACATTAGTGATATTTGTTTTAAAAAAAAAATATTATCTCAATAGATAAGTTTGTGTACTAGAATTTCAATAGGTAAATAAAATAACAAATATTAAAATATTACATTTAGAAAATTTGTTGGTAGTTAAATAACAACTAATAAAATTACAAACTTATATTTAGTTAGTATTAAGCATTTCAATAAAATTTATCTCTGAGATTTCGTCAAAAATATAAACTTAATGATGAAATTTTTTTTCGTGATGTAATATCATAAAGAGAAATTATTAAAAGAAATTTCAAATTATTAACGAAATATTAAAAATAAAAGAATGGAGAATAAATTCTGAGTCTTTGAACATCAACAATTGAAGAATTGTAGGTGATTGTCGAGAGATTATGAATGACATTGTCATAGATAATTGTGAAAGGTCAGTGTTGATAATCAATGATAATGTTGTATTTCATCAAGTACCATCGATTATTTGTCATTATCTTTCATTTAAATTTTATCTCAATAATCATTCTTGAAAAATCCTCATTAAATTTTTTTTGCTTAAAACCTTCAAATTGTTTGAGAGTCTTTATTAATTACTTGTACGTAATTTAGTGTACGAAACATAAAATTCCTTTAAAATATATTTAGGTTCAATTTATGCTGGGGCCAGATCCAATTTTTGATTCAATGAGGTGTCAAAAATCAGTCCACCATAAACACTATTATCTATCATTCAAACATTCCTCTCCCTTCTTCTTCTTCTATATTTTTTTTTTCTCCAATTTATAGTGTTAGCGACTGCAGTATTCTTCCTAAATGATATGTTATATGACATAAGATACGGACTATGTTACTTGTACAGATGAAATTTACAGAAAAAGTTATAGAATGTCACATGACATTTTTTCATGGTGGTCTAACTGTAACCCTGTCTATAACCTTGCTTGTACAAACAACATTATCCAATCTTAACAATTCTACTAAAAAATATTCCTATTTTATAATTACTAAAATTATATCACGTAAGATGAATATTACAATCGTTAACTATAAATAGCATTACACTTACTAAACTATGCAGCAAGATTGCAAATTGAAATAAAATATAAGTAGCCTCAAATTTCAATGTGAAAGCATAAATTTTGTACACACGACATATGACCGGGTCATAGGGATTTTTCTCTCCTGAGACAATGTCAATTTGGAAAGATCCAGTACATTTTTGTCGCAAAATTTTACTATTTTGGAATCCAAATGACTTATGATAACCCATTTCAGTATTTCTTCATTTGTGTCAAATTTCTCTATATTTTTTAAAAAAAATTTTGTTTAATCACTTTGTTTAAAATTTAAATTATATATTTGAATGAGTTTAGTTTTCACTACAATCCCTTGCATACATGCCAGAATTCGTCTTTGCTCAAAGATACGATACATTTACATTTTTATAATGATTCGATGAGCTTCGACTTCATATATATATATTTTTTAATTCTAATAATATATTATATAGTATTACCTTATTTAAAAGTTTAATCCATTAGAAAGATTTTATTTATTTAAATATAATTTTCAATAGATTCGATTACCTTATAAATTCGAATAGATGTTTTGCTTACTGATTTCTAGTTTCAAACAAATTGCATATATCAAATAGTTATCACGAATCGATCGATTACAAAATTTTAGTCCTATTTTTTAAAGTAATATTTTCAAGTTGTTTACATAAATATTTATTTTGCAATATTACCATTTCTTTCTCACATTCTCTATCATGAAAACTATTACATTATGTTTGGTAATTTGGAGATTAAAAAAATAAAAAAAATAAAATCGATAAAACATGTCACATACTTCTAATCAATCGATTACAACGTACGAAACACGTCCTTAATATATTTCCTGGCTTATCTTCGGATAACACGTAGAAACAAGTTGGCTTGATTGGAACGGATCATAAGAAGAAGAAAACAGAAGGCTAAGCACCTGGTTTTGCTTCTTTAAGTCAAAATTTTCTTCACAGCCCACAGAAATACGGGCTTCTAATTATACTTATCCAAGCAATCGCAATCTGTATATTGCAAATGGGAAATATTCTATTTCCATGCAATTACCTTTCCAAAGTCACAAGTATAAATACATATATTGCATGGCTGTTATATTTATAACCTGTCACATTAAGAAGCGTATACACTTAGCTTCTCAAAGTATCAACAATACAAAAAGCACTAAAAAGAGATTATATGGGTCGTTGGATGAAACCCGAGGTACGTAAGTGCGATCGCTTCGGAGAAATTCTATCTGCTTCTTTTTCGTTAGTTTAGTCATATTAAACCTATTTTTTAAGAATAGATTTTGCGAAAAGTGGTTTCTAAATTGCTAGCCGCTAGTCATCGACAATATGTTGAAAAAATTGAAATTGACTCAACAAATGTAGTGGCCCTTTTTTTTTTTTTTTTTCAAAATAGAATTTTAGATTAAAATTACATGTCGTTATGTGCTTTTGCCGTGAAATTCAAATGATAATTAACTTTATTGCAGGTTTCATGTTAGGATAACTTATACTCAAATAAAAAATAATAGCAAAATATATGTTATTTTTCTACAAAATTTTAATTGTTTACATAAATTATTTTGTCTTAATTAATTTTTCAAAAAAATAGTAATGATTTCCAAATTGAAACTTTTAATTAATTTCGTATGTGACAGGTTTACCCTCTTGTGGCTGCCATGACTTTCGTCACTGGGATGTGCCTATTTCAGCTAACGAGAAATGTCTTTTTGAATCCCGATGTGAGGTATACTGTTGTAATTTAACTTTTTAGATATAATCATTTAATCCACTATTATACGAGATATGTAAATTTCATGTTCAATTCTCACCATGAACTATTTATAAAACTTTCATTAGTCACTTGATAAATAAACTATGCCCCTGTTTAATCATCATTAAAATTATAATTTATTTTTCTCTTACTTCTTATTAATCAGATGTTCTTCAATAAAATAGTATTACACGTAATCCCAAAAAATATATATTTTTCTTTTTCACATTCTTAAAATAAAAAAATAAAAAAGTACTATTCCAAACATTAACCCTTTTTTGAGCCCTATTTTTCCATCAAAATATATTTTTGAACATTGATTTGACCCAATTTTGACTATACATTCTACAACAGAATAAAATGCATTTTTTTGAAACTTTTTCTTATTTTTAACCATATATTCTCCATCATAATACTATTGTAAAATGCATTTTTTTGAAAAAGAAATGGGGCTCAAACAACCCCTAAAATTTGAAATAATGGGGACCAAACAGGCCCTATACTAATCTAAATGTGAAAGCGCGCCTTTTTTTAAAGTAGTTTTTATGATGGATTTCGACTTTTTATTGAATTGTTCGTATGTGACATATGTAGAATCAACAAAGCTCACCGTACAACGGTCGTCCTAGAGAACCAAGAGGAAGGTGAAAAATATGCACAACACAGCCTCCGAAAGTTTCTTCGCACACGCCCTCCGGAGGTGATGCCAACCATCAATCGTTTCTTCTCTGAACACAAGTGAAT